CTCGAGCACCTTCGAACCCTGTTCCAGCGATTGACCCAACACGGTGTCAAAGTCAACCCGACTAAGTGCGAACTCGGCAAATCAACGGTAGAATTCCTAGGCCACCTCGTTTCATCGACTGGTATCGAAGTCCTTCCTAACAAGCTCCAGGCAATCAAGGACTTCCCAGCTCCGACGTCCTTCAAGCTCCTCCGTCGATTTTGTGGTTTGGTCAACTACTATCGACGCTTCACTCCGCGCTGCGCTCGGCTAATGCAGCCACTGACTGACTTACTCAGAGGAAAAGAACGTAAGTTCGCTTTCCCTGACACAGCACAGGCAGCCTTCGCCGAGCTCAAGGATGCTATCTCCAACATAGCTCTCCTCGCTCATTCCGAATCGACTGCACCTCTTTCTATTACGACTGATGCCTCAGACGTCGCGGTAGCAGCCTTCCTCCAACAACACGTTGGTGGGCAATGGCAACCCCTTTGGTTCTTCTCCAAGCGCTTGCAGCCAGCGGAATCCCGCTACAGCACGTTTGGCAGAGAATTGCTGGCCATTTACCTAGCAATACGTCACTTCCGGCACACACTCAAAGGCCGCGCTTTCACGGTCTACACTGACCACAAGCCCCTTATCTTTGCCTTCAACTCGGCTTCCGACAAATACTCACCACGGGAAACAAGACACCTAGACTTTGTCACGCAGTTTACTGCTGACATACGTCATGTCTCAGGTGTCGACAATCCCGTCGCCGACGCTCTCTCACGCGTCAACCTCACTCTGCAGTCTTTGCCTACCGTCGACCTTGCCGCCATGGCATCGGCTCAGGCTCAAGACGAAGACATGCAGCGCACCCTGCAGTCCACTTCGCTGCATGTGCAACCTGTTCCTCTCCAAACCAAGGAAGGAACAATCCTCTGTGACACTTCTACAGGTTGTCCTAGACCTCTCGTGCCCGTCTCCTTCAGATGCACAGTCTTTGACGCACTTCACTCACTAGCACATCCCGGTATCCGTACATCTTTGAAACTGGTCACCGAACGTTTCGTTTGGCCATGCGTAAACAATGATGTTCGTACCTGGACTCGCGCTTGCCTTCAATGCCAGCGCTCTAAAGTACATCGTCACACCCGCAGTCCTCTTAGTTCATTTTCTGCCCTGGACGCTCGGTTCACGCATGTACACTTAGACCTGGTAGGTCCATTACCTCCGTCACACGGATTCGTATACATTCGTACATGTGTCGACCGCTTCACCAGATGGCCAAAAGCTATCCCCGTAACAGACTGCACAGCTGAGACTGTTATCCGGGCCTTCTTAGATCGGTGGGTATCGCACTACGGATGCCCATCCACCATCACAACTGACCGAGGAAGGCCTTTCGAATCTTCACAATTCGATACGTTCTGCAACTTCTTAGGTTGTCGCCGCATTCATACCACAGCGTATCACCCAGCAGCCAACGAGTCGGTTTAATGTTTCCATAGACAGCTTAAAGCCTCGCTCTGCGCCTCCTCCGACCCTAGCTGGAGCGAAAATATTTCGTTCGTACTCTTAGGCATTCGCAGCAGCATCAAAGCTGACTTGCAATGTGCACCAGCAGAGCTGGTTTACTGCACGACGCTCAAGTTACCCGGACAATTCGTTTCACCTCCCACATAGTCGGGTATGCCTCCGCCTAACTTTGCCTCCTCCCTAGCTCAACCCATGCGTTCACTACGCCCGACCCCGCCCCGTGAACAGACTAGAGATGTGCAAATGCACAGCGGACTCTCTACCTGCACCCACGCCTTCCTCCGCGCCGACGCAGCGCGGCGCCCTCTCCAGCCTCCCTACACTGGCCCCTTCAGGGTTCTGCAACGGACTCCGAAACAATTTACTATAGACCAGAATGGTCACCGAACAACGGTGTCCATCGACCGACTCAAAGTGGCTTTCTTTGACGAGCCACTTGCAGCTCATCCTGATGCTCTCTCACAAGCACCCGCACCCGTAGCGACTTCGCGAGCACTGGATAACCCGGAACCCTCCGTACCCCTTGACCAGCAACCTATCCCGCCGCAACCCCAAGCAACCGACCGACGCGGTAGACTGGTCAAACGTCCGGTCCGTTTTTCCGATTTCGTAAGCGTTTGCTATTTCCATTAACCCGCCTTTTTCGTCTTTAATGGTTATCCTGAGTCTCACCTACAAACGTTTTGCAAAATCGACAGAAACCCAAAACATTTTGAAAAACCTAAAAAGCGTATTTGCTTTTATCATACATGCCATGTTCCCTCTCCGGCGTCAAGCCACTTCCCCGACCCTTGCCAACCCCCTCTGAGTTCTACCTTCCAGAAACTCAACCGCCGGAACTGCCCAGGCAACCCTGGAGTGACTCACCAGCCGTCCTCACCCAAGGAACAGACAGTCGCCCTCGATCGCAGACACTCACGAACGAATTGGTCCCCAAACGCCGCTTAGGCATTGCCGATGAAGACGCCGGATTTCTTCGTGGGACGAGCACGCCTGGATTTCTTCGTGGGACGAGGACCGTGGACTAAAGTGCGGTGGGGGGAGTGACACCTCCCAAGCGCACCGTCGGGCCTGCAGCAATGGGAAGGTCCTGTCGGCCTTTTTCTGGACTAGCCAGTATTTTTTGCAGTCCGACCAGCCCGCCCCGACGGCCCATCGATGATGCACTCTGGTCCACACGATCGTCATAAATAAAACTAACAAAAGCCTGGAGCCAGCGAAATCTGCGACACCCCACCTTGGAAGCCCTTCTCATGCCCCTGCAAACATTCGCATCCACCCCCACCTTCCGTTCCTCCCCACTAACAGCTCCATCGAAGGCTTCCAACCTTCAGCCTTCTAGGGGAGGCCCCTGTAGTGCAACAGAAAATATGTACTTTCAGTATCTTGTAACATTGGATTTTATGGTTGTTTTAACCTTCGAAACGTCCATTTGTTTAACTGACTGCACATCCGTTGTCACAAAACCGTTTTGGTGAGTACCTTGCTGCACGTTTCTCGCTCTGCCTGATTCGCTTCCTATTCTTGTAGCCTGTACAATATACGTTGGGTTCAGTCGCCTCCGACTTCTGTACTGTCGTATTTGACATGTATTACGTGTCATTGCTTACCGACTAGTACCCCAGGTTCCGCCCAACCGGTGGTAAAGCGCAAGCTACTCATGGTCCCTCGGTAGACGCAGGTGTCCTGTGACCGTCCACAGCGACAGACTAGTCCGGAACCGGATGCCGCCAAACATAGTCGTTTGAATGTGGTTGTTAATGTAACGCTTTATGTGTGATTGTGTATGGTCTGCTTACTTTTCCCAATAGTGCCGCAAAATTATACTTGGTTCTATTCATTACTCGGTTAAACTTTGTTTCGCCGCTCTGAATTAGGCGACGTTCTGCTCACTGTATCCACTGCTTTCATCTAACTTGATGTATACATCGACGTTTTATCCAGGATGTTAAATTACTACCCTTGCCGTTTACATGCTATCTTAGAAAGCACTAAATATGCATCTGCGCGGTAAAATTTTATTTTTACATTCTCATACCTCTTATTGCTACTTTATTCTGCATCATTTATTATGCTTACTAGACCACCCAACGGTAATGCTATCCCGCTTTCTTGACTGTACACTTGACTACGGTTGCTATATTAGGTATATTGCTGTCTGCAGTTATTCCTCAGTTGTTTTATTATAGCGGTATCGGGATGCAAATTAACTATTGTTCATGGGTTTATATAGATGGAAAAAGCTTGTGCTGACTTGACTATAAGCAAGAGAACGCTGTATGCATCACAAACGTCCCCACTAAGGCTGTAAGTCAACGAGCAATCCATAATCAGAAAACCGTGACCTTAGTTGTTGCACAGAATGCGCGACTCCACCTGTATAGATTGTCCGGAGAAAATGCTCCATTACTTGACCACCAGTAACAAGCAACTTTCCTGCAGCCGCCTTAAGATGAAAAGGACTGCGTGGTGCGTCTGTAACCAGCAAGTAGCAGTAAAATATATTGCTTATAAATTTTTATAACAAGACCAGTAAAGCTAAAACAGTTATAAAATCATGCTGTATGTTAAGATTATTCCATGCAGTTTCGGTTACTTAAGACCAGTTCTATTGCTTTTTTATCGGGAAATTGTTGTCTTTGCACTTCAACGGGAATAGCTGATAAAACTATCCTTATCTCTCCTACCTTACTTAGACTTCTTGAGTTGTATGGAATCACATTACATGTACAGATGCCACTGACATCATGCTATCCAAGTAAAAGCGACCTTGTTTATTTTACAGTGCTATTGGTTAACTATTATTGTGGTCAGCTAGAACTGCTAATGCTTATGAGCACTTACTATCGCATTGTGTTTTATATAATTTTGTAACTTATGCACTGTGCTAACTATTGTGTACTCCGCGTTTGCAATTATAGGACGTGTTTCCGTAGGCAGTTAGAAAGGTGGCGAACACACTTAAGCTAAGGTGGGGACAGGCTATTATGTTTACATTTTAAAAATGGCTCCTCGTTCGGCCTACGCTCCCTTGATCCTTGGTTCTGTTAAATCTAATTAAGGCGTTGCTCTTAATACTGTATGTTACTAACTAACGACACCTCCCACGCACTGCGTGAGCAGTTATCTGCTTCAAATGCTATGTCTCTAGTGTGCTGGATGTTACCTACAAACATTTTAGCACAGACACATAAAGACAGAAAAATCAGTTCTTAACTGTGACCTGCTTATTGTGACGCTGCTGGCAAACGTTGCGTAACTTCACACTTCCTTAGATTGATGTTTAAATTGCGCAATGTTATATCGTTAGACAAATTGAGAGAAAGTTGTGATGCTTGAATAGAAGCTCCAACTTAATGTGATGTGTCGAGAATGCGCGATATCTTGCTTTCGAATGGAATAGCGTTATATTTGTGCATAAAAGTTACTTTATGGCAGTCGTACAGATGCGGATTTGCTGAGGACGATAATAAATATTCACGGAGGAGACGAGAGCGCGCATGACTGGTCCTGCAATGGAAAGCAAAAGTAAGCATGAATACAAAGCTATCAGAAGTGGAGTGGCCTGCTGAAAAGTGAGCATAACGCATATGTTTTTATTCCAATTTTCCAGCACATTCCGCTTGTAAAGTTGTCAGGCTAAAGCGGAACCTACGAAGTAAGCAGAGGATCAGACAGGTGCCACAAACAAAAACAGATCGTGCTGTTCACCTGGGCTTGCAGCAACGCAGCGCAACCTAACTCTACCTACGGTACACCTAGAATGGCCCGTCTAGGTTTCAAGCACAAACCACTGGTAGGTGACCGACGAAATAGGCCAGTTAACAAAGATCGCCTTGTGAAGCGGTTCGTAGCAGAAGGTTAAGGTAACTCAGGTACTCCTTAAATAAACTGGTAGATTCCTTATAATGATTTAGTGTGCTTTTAACTCTGCGCTCCAATGCCAGTTGCACTTGTTCAGTCAGCTGTTTCCCATTTTTTTAGAAAAAAGTAGTTCTAGGTGTAGTTTCGTCGCAGTTAGACACAGCGACGCACCCACGCAAAAACCAAATAAATCCTCCTACTACTTACAAATTAGTTCTTTGTTCGCTTAGCCAACGTTCATATTTTCTGATACGGTTATAACGTCTGTCAACATCATTCGTATAATACGCCTTTCGAATGGCCGCGCAATTGTATACGCCTCTGGTTGGTTCATCTATGGTCTACAACTGACGCTGCGAGCAAAAATGTCTCTTCGCAAGCATGCGTGAACTAAGTGGTGCATTTGCCTTGTGGGAGCAGTTCGGCAAGCAAAATCCTCCCAACGACGAGACGTGCGGAGCGTTGAGCGCCCGCAGGTTTTAAAAATAATTTGAAAATGTGTAGCACGGGTGGCTTGTTTATTTGTTGTGAAGTTCTCCGAGCTAAGGAGCTGGATTGAAAAGGTTCCAATACCATTCATGGTGACGTCTTTAATGCGAGGTTGACAGCAAGCCCATTAATAGGTTTGCTTTCTATTAGCTTCTGCTACCTGACTGCTCTCAACCTTGCACTGAAAATGCCACCTAGAATGGTAGCGAAACGTTTGCAAACAAGTTATTTAAATCGGAGAAATATACAACAACGCCGATATTTAGTATTTGTTAGCCAGACTTTTTGAGGTCCAAAGAGCTACTGGACACGCTGGTTGCTAGATCGCGCCTTTGCAAGACTTGCTGGCCGGTCGAACAACCACCTGGTGCAACCAGTTGTGTGCTTCGGTTTTAATCCTTCCCTGAAAGTGGCTCAGCAGCAATGTTTCAGGACCTACTGGGTTTTCAACTGACTAGCGCTACCTCTATACAAGCCAAAAATGTCAGTTTATAACCAAAGCCACTAACTGATGTTACTGCCCCTTGGATATCAAGGTATTTGTAACTAACTAACCAACCTCCACCATCTACTCGAATTTTTCTTCCGCTATCAAACCGTTAAGGTTGCCGTGGTATACTTTAAAGCACAACCTACACGCATACGCAATTAAATAGCTATACACACGCTAAACAAACATTCGCCGTTACGGTAAACACCTGGTCTGTTTGTGTTGTTTGATCAAGCTTTGTTAGCTTAAGTTGATCACGCCTGTCATGGTGAGCCTTGTGTTGTCGAGAATAATAATTTACTTTATTCCTTTAGTCAGTTAAGGAAACTGATTGCAGACACTGTCCGTTTAGAAAAATATGTGTCTCGTGCAGCCTCAAAAGATCATCGGGAGAAGTCTCGTTAGCTCACAGCAAAGGTGCGTTCAACAGGTAATACTTGGCAAATCTCAGAAATGAGGATGGAATATAATGGACAGGTAAACCACAAGACATCCGTACTTGTTGAAGCTGTGTTCATGTGATGCTGCTGACTTTGGTGCAAACCATGTGTGTAAAGCGAACTTAGTTGGCACACCGCGTATATACATATTTGTGTGCGAAAGCTATTTGGGGAAGTTGACTAGAATGCAACTGCAAGCAACAATGTGTAGCTTTGGTGGACTTAAGGGAGACAAAAGCTAACTACCGGTAAAAAGCTAGGAAAAGAGAGTAGCTAGGCAGCAGACAAGCAGGTGGCTACAAGTTCAGCGTAATGCTATAGTGAAGCTAGCGATTTAGCAAAACTGACAAGTTCTAACCAAGAAATCCTAATAAAGTAAGGCTGTGTAGAGAGATGAAGCAAAAATTTATTAAGTATTTGGCATAGAGATGAAAGATATGCCTAAAACGGTAAGCAGGAGGTGGAGCGGCCATCCATGGGGCATAGTTTTTGACATTTCTTGCGCGATCGTTTAGCAAAGCTTATAATTTAGACTAAACTAAGTTAAGGCGAATTAAAGTTACCCCTTCCTCAGTAGCCTGGGAGAATTCAGAATGCAGAAACCAAGTCAGACAAGAAACAGCAGTGTGGCGCACTGAGAGCAAACAGTACAAATAAAGTAGGAATGAGTGAGAATGATGACGCAGGCATAAAAGAAGTAGGAATGGATAGGATTTGGTCAAACATGAAGAGATATTGTTGTAGACGCCCATAGTGTTGACGACTTCAGCATCCGTAGCAGTCGATAAAGAATAATGGGAGTAAGCAAGAATGCGACGGCATAATGGTATTCGTCGGATGCTGGGGCTGCGTAAGGGAAAGCGACCAGTTTTAGAGGGGGTTGATGTATGAAAATCCTGAATCAGTTTTAGCCCTAAACATTAGAGAAAAAGTCGAGAACGTAGCAATCCTAGAGCAAATTTTGTGGAGCATATTATAAGTAGTTAAGGTAAAATTGGCAGGTGACTGTAGTTCCATGTTCAATTCTGTTGCGGGCCCGTCAAAAATCCCCGCAAAAAACGCGCCAGTAACTCAGGCATAATGGCTGTGGGAAACGGAGTCCAATTTCTCCTCACAACGCAGCAGTGTTCAGCCACTCCGAGGAGCGTCCCAACTGCGAACCTTTTGACAATGCTCATTTGCAATCTACCACCTCTGCGTGGGGACTGTTTTTCCTAACTTAATAACCCATAGCACTGACTGCGATTGCCCTTTGTTGGTCGTAAAAGAGCCTACAGAGGACCACTTGTCTTTTCTTTCTCTTCGCCTCAGTTGGGAGTCGGTCGGGTCGCGTGATTGCGTGCGAGTCGTTAACTGGCCAGCCCTCGCGTCTAAGTCATTAGCGCGCGTCTATCATACCCCCTCTCGTGTGCGTCCGTTTTCGAGGCCTCAGCGTCTATACGAACAAGTGCGGCTAAGATCGTTCCCACGCTCGTTCAATTTTCCGTCTCACCGGCTAAGCCAGCGTCATCAGGACAGCGCAATTCCGTTCGAGTGGTCAGCGTAGCAAGCAATTATCGTAGGCGTGCCAGCGACCCTCTTATCAGGCAATTACGCAATTATCTCAAGAGGCGGCGTTCCCTCAATTATAACAGCGGCGACGACTAAGGCAATCTACGCAATCTATAACAGTGGCGACAGAGTTGGTGAACCATGACTGACGAATATGCCGATTTAAAATTGATGCTGCAGCAACAGCTTAAATTGATGTCCGCTCTAACCGAAAAGCTTTCCAGTTCTTCCCTTCATGCAGGTCCGAGCGCCAATTCTCAGTCAGTGGACCAGGTGGTTAGCGGCATCAGCGAATTTCTGTACGACGCCAAGGCCGGGGTAACGTTCGAATCCTGGTACAAGCGGTACGAGGACCTGTTCACCGTTGACTTGGCTTGCCAGGACGACGCGTGGAAGGTCCGCCTGCTTCTGCGCAAACTTGGTACCCTCGAACACCAGCGCTACACCAATTTCATCTTGCCGAGGAACCCACGGGACGTTACCTTTGACGACACGGTCCGAACGTTGTCACAGATTTTTGGCGAGCAGTCCTCCCTGTTCAATGCTCGTTACCAATGTCTGCAGCTGGTCAAACGTGATGCCGACGACTTCATCACGTACGCGGGCATGGTCAACCGTGAATGCCAACGTTTTCAACTTGGCTCGCTCACCGAGGACCAATTCAAATGCCTGATCTTTGTCTCTGGCCTCCAATCTCCACACGATGCCGATATCCGGACGCACCTCCTGTCCAAGCTACAACAGGATGGATCAGTCACACTCCAGAACCTGGCCGAGGAGTGTCAAACGCTGCTCAACCTGAAGCACGATTCTGCCATGATCCAGAACGCCGCCGCACCTGGTATGGTCCAGGCAGTCACAGCACCGAGGGCGCAATCGTCCGCGCGCCCCACCCAATCCGACCGAGCGAAGTCCCCACCCTACGCGTGCCGATTCTGTGGTGCCTGGCATTTCCACCGCGACTGCAAGTTCCGCCAGCATCGTTGTCAACGTTGTGGCAGGGTGGGGCACCGGGATGGTTACTGCCATCCTCCATCTCCCAAGGGGGCCAAAACTGGGCTGGCCCCCACCCGCGATCCAAAGAAGAGGTCCCGACCCAGACGCACACCCAAATCTGGTCCGGTTGGCAGCTCCCTGAGCCTGCTGGCCACGTTCCAAATCAACGCTGCGGATCGGAGAAAGTTCGTCGACGTCTTGATCAATGGTCAGTCGGTCCGATTGCAGTTGGACACTGCGTCGGACATCACAATCATCTCCGAGGATCTCTGGCGATCCCTTGGCAAGCCACCGTTCGAACCGACCTCCCAATCTGCCACCAGCGCCTGTGGTGGTCGCGTGCAGCTAACTGGGCAGCTGCACTGCTCCGTCTCCTTCCGGGGCGCCACATTCAACGCGACCTGCTACATCACGAAGGCGAAGCTCAACGTACTTGGTCTCGACTGGCTCGAAACCCTTGGCTTGGCCGATCTTCCTCTTCAGGCCATCTGCAACGTGGTACATTCTCCGACAGTACCAAACGACCGAACCGATGACAAAGCCAGTCAATCCGCCCCCGTGTTCCAGGATTGTCAACAAGCATCCAAGATGCCACCACACCAATCACCAGTTCCTTGGCAGCCGCCAGCAAAACCGTGGTCTCGAGTGCACATCGATTACGCTGGTCCCATCGATGGCATTTCCTACCTGGTCATGGT